GAAATACATAAAATATAAACCAAAGAAAAAATGATGGATAGTCTCTGCCTCCCCCTTAATTTTTGCGGTTCTTACTTCTCGCCTCAACCCTGATATTGCTACCGACTCATACCTGTTGCTTTCTTTTGATATTCACTAATCTACTCACTTCTTGACGCCACTTTCTATACTCGCAACTTTAAACCGCTGGTTTGCAACATTGCCCGACTCAATTCATATGCACGTGGGGCAAGCCCTATTCAGTAGCATGTAATTTCGACCTCGAAACGAATGTCGATCAATTAAGTATGAATGCAGAAGTGAAAATCATGGCGATGCGCACCAGGCGGGCCCGTGCGATCATGTGTTTTTGCAGTATTTCGTGTAGTAAGATCACTAGGAATTACAGCAGCTAGAATTTGTGACATATTGGTCCTCGAACTTCAGGAATTTAAATGTACAACTATCACGTGGTACTTTCAAAAGGAGCGTTCCTTTAAAGCTTCACCTTCTCAGATTTCCTAGCTTTCGAGTTAGCGATTTTTCCGCCAAAATTTTTCACTGAGCCAACGTAAGAACCATGCATGCATGGCGGTTGAATTTGAAATTTTTGAGTTCTGTACGGACGGGAGACATCTCCTCAACATTTCAACTTTCCAGCTTTTCTGGTTCCCAAGTTAATGATTTTTCCACCATAAATTTTCATGGAGCCACACTTGAGAACCACACACGTCCGGAAGCTTAATTTTAAATCTGTATGTTCTACGTGGACGAGGAAAATCCTCTCAAAATTCCAGCCTTTCTGGTTCCCGAGCTCACGATTTTCCCGTAAAAATTCTCACAGAGCCAAACGTGAGAACCACGCGTGTCCGGAGGCTAAGTTTGAAATTTTCGCATTCTATGTGGATGGGAACATCTTAAAATTTCCGAGCTAGCGATTTTCCTCCCAAAAACATTCGAGGGGCCGTAATTTAGTACCACTTAACTGGGGACTGAATTTGAAACCTTTAAGCTGTGTGTGGGCTGGAAAAATCCCTTGAAAATCTTAGCTTCCTGTCTTTTCTGGTTCTAAGTTAGCGGCTTCCCACCAAAATCCTCACGTGCTCGAGGTCCAGGCGTGCGTGACGGTTGGTACTGCGGTCGTAGAGTGGCAAGTGGCCGGAGAAAACGCTGACAATTTCTCAGCGCCAGAGACTGCTTGGTTGTTGAGTTGGAATACCCGGGCAGACAAAAACATACACAAACACGCACACCAAGGGTCGTCGCAATATGCGTTTTCACATTTGCATATACGCAAAAACGCATAACAAAAGATGGCTGATGAATCACTGGCGACGCGCACTGGGCGGATCCGTGCGATCATGCGTTTTTGGGGTGTTTCGTGCTGTAATGAGATCACTCGGTTCGGAAACCCAGTAGCTAGAAATGTGTGAAATACCGGTCCTCGAATTTCGGGAATTTAATTGTCTACACTGTACCCGGACAAGAAACATTCCCCAAAAATTTCAGCCCCCCAGTTTTCCTGGTTCCGAAGTTAGCCATTTTCCCGCCAAAAATTTCCAAGGAGCTGCACGTGAGAATCACGCATGTCCGGGGCTAAATCTGATAAATTTAAGTTGCAGATGAGCTGGCGAAATTCTCTGGAAATTTCAGCTCAACGGCTCCCCTGGGTCCGAAGTTAGCCATTTTCCCGCAATAAATTTTCACGGAGCCGTACATGAGAACCTCGTATAACTGGGAATTGATTTTGGTTAATTTAAGTGTACGTGGGCTGAGAACATTCCCTTAAAATCACAGGCTCCCAGCTTCCCCAGCTTCCGAGTTCCTCATATTCCTGCCAAAAATTTTCACGGGGCCGTACGTAAGAACCGCATGCCTGGAGGCTGAATTCGATAAATTTATTTTGCAGATGAGCTGGGAACACCCCGCTTAAAATTTCAGCCTCCTAGCTGTCCTGGATCCAAGTTAGCGATTTTCTCGCCAGGAAGGGCACGCGGGGACTCCACATACTTCGGGGCTGAATTTGAATTCTTTGAGTCCTCTATGGACAGGGAACACAACCTCAAAATTTCAGCTTTCTAGTTTTTCTGATTCCCGAGTTAGCGATTTTCCTGCCAAAAATTCCACGTGTTCGCACGCGGGGCTCAGGCGTGCCTGGAAGAAGGTATCGCGGTCCTGGGGTGGCACTTGGCCTGGGAATCCACTCGCAAAATTTCGGCGCCGGAGCTTGCTCAGATGCTGAGTTGAAATACCCGGACAGACGCACACAATATATATATATATATATATATATATATACCGGGTTCGTCGCAGTGTGCGTCTTCGCTTTTGCATATTTGCCAAAACTCTCAAAAATGATCCCGCTATTCAGTCGGGTAGCTCCACGTAATTGAAAGGGATAAGTTTTCAAAATTTGGCCTTGATCGGCTTCATTTTTTCCTATCATACATGACACAGTATTTGAATTTCCCATTTTTATGAGTTTTTGCTGTGCAGCGCTGTAGCGCTGCCACAGTGAGCAAAAATGCATTTTGTCGAGAGATCGTCCGTCCATGTTTGTGTCTGTGTTGGGAAGCAGATGAATTTTGTCACTCACTTTCAACTCAGCAACCAGTAAAGCTAGGAAGCTAAAGTTCTGGGAGCATATTCCCACCCCCTGTGTCACCCTTTCGTTTCAAAATCATCACTCACACGCGTCTAGATTTCGCGTACAGACCCCACAAAAAAATGTGCAAATTCCTTTAACGGGGAACGATTCCGTCAGTCAGACAATACAGAAAGCTGAAACTTCACAATAGTGTCCTCAGCGCATGTTTGAACTAAAGATTTCAGATTCAGGTTTTGCGTACGCTTGCATCGTGCATGCGGCCATGTCAAAGTCCGCAGTTGACACTGACCAGTTGACACTGACCGGACCATTCTTGCTGTTAGCGATCCGCAAGTTTAGCATAAAAACGCATGGTCACACTGGTAAACCCGGTGCGTAGCAGCCTAGAGTTGGTTCTCGCACGATTTTATTTAGCATAACTAATTTTTAGGGCCGTCTAAAACTGGTAGGTGTTTCGATCGGTAAAATTTTGTAAAACAAGCCGTGGTCTTCTAGCAGCGATATCACATTTGAAAAATTGTTCCGACAAGTAACTGACACATGACGAAATCAGTGAACAGTGGGATGCAGTAGCGAAAATGACTGAAGGGAGCTTGCAAATAGGTCTGCAGGCTACTACGACGTGTTTGCAGGCTGCAGACACTTCGTAGTAGCTCCCATCTAGCCCACACGTATGGCCTCTTTTTGCTCGCGGCTAAGGCGTGCAACATAAACTGCATCATGATTTGTTCATCGGCACATGCTTTACTTAGT